AAATGACTAGGGAAACATCAGCATCAGAATAGTGAGCACTAAATATACACCTATTCATAGATCTGAGGGTTAAAAGGGAGAGAGTACATTACATAATGCTTATGTACTCAGACAATATATAGTACAATTATAAAAAACAGGAAGGTGAGAATAGAGAGAACATCTGCAAAATATTTACCTATTTTCCCTAATAATATCGATGGTGGTGGTGTTAGTACTGTTATTGTGAGACAGTTGTTTGTTAAGTAGGATAAAGCAAATGAGTAAATTACAGGATATCATATCATGCCCTATGTCCCTTGAAAACCAGGATTCCGAGTGTGGATGAAAGGACATGCAGATGTAATACAGAAGAATTGAAGTAAAAACTCTGGTCCTGAAACTGAATTTCTGAATTTTAAGTATCTATATCAATTCATGAGATATTTTATCTTTAAATAGTTTTGTGTCTATGATATATATAGATATCCTAGCTATATCTATTGAAAAGGACTAGAAATTATGGTTACCCAAACAGCAATGAGCATCCCTAGCATCCAGATCCATTTCCCACTATAAGAAACCATGCTTTCTTAAAGAAATGTTGACTCCAGGCGGGGGACAGGAAATGCACAAAATAAACCTGCAACATCTTGGCATACCAGGTGGCAAGGAAACTATTAAAGACTAGTAGGGTTGGGGCTGGCTAGTTAGCTCAGTTGGTTAGAGCACAGCCTTATAACGCCAAGGTCATGGGTTCAGATCCCTGTACCGGCCAGCTGCCAAAAAAAAAAAAAGGACGACTAGGGTCATGCCAAAAGACATGAAAGTCAACCTAAAGAGACTCCCAGTGGCTAAAGATAGGGCAATATAACAATGAGTTTCAGTAAGGATAATAATTGCAATAGATTGAATATCATTATCTATGAGGGTACTTCATTCAACAAGTTCATGGAAATATAAAATTAAAAGATAATACATATCTTTTCATAAACTTTTTGAAGATCCCCTCATATGTTTAAATCTATGAGTTCATAATAATATTAAAAAAATTTTTTGGTCATTATCACAGGATGACAGAATACCAATTCACTATCTTCAAAACTGCTAAATAGGCCGGCCCGGTGGCGCACTGCTACAGTGCGCCGCTTGGGAGCACGGTGGCGCTCCCGCC